TATAATTTAGTTTTGATCTTATATATAACAAATTAGATATTTAATATATTTTTAATATCTTTTAATAATATCATAGGTCAAATCTCATGAAAAACTCTATTTAGGAGCACTGAAGGTAAGAGCATTTGGAGAATATTAGTAGTTAGTAAACATTCTGCTTAATGCTTTGTCTACCAATCAAGTTTTAATGATAAAGAGTATGATACTCATTTAAATGCTTTGCCAATCAAGGCCTATATTTGGAGATTTGAGCCAATTTATAAGTTTCTCGATCAGCCGATTATCCCTCTTACCACTTTTAAAGAAACTATTTTGAAAGAAGTTTTTAGGATTGGGAAAAGAGATTTTTCCTGACATAGTCGAAGATGTTGAAGAATTTAGAAATCTAGGACTAACGAAATTTAATGGGGAATTGGCATATATAATCTTAAAAAAACTATAGAACAGAAACAAACTCTCTAACTATATATAATAACATAAATAGTTATTTTATATACTAACTTTATTTTACTTTTATCCACCCATATTTAATATTTTCTCAATACATATCTATTCATTCTCTATATATTAAAGGAGAAGCATTTTGGAATTAATTTGTTTAGGTGTTAAATTCTCAATTTTTTTGGAGTTTTTAACTAATTATTAAATTATACTATTAATTCTCTACTATACTATTATCCAAACACTCCACAATCATATTAATTCTCTACTATATTATTATCCAAACACTACACAATTACAGAATCCTTCCAATCAAACATAATTAGAAAATAATTTTTTTTTATTTGTTTCTTAAAACCATATTTTTGAAGATTATAGTATTAAATCAATACATTTTATTAAGAAGTGATATATATAAACTAAGAACTAAAAATTTGTTATTTTCAATTATTTCACGGGTGGAATACATTTACAAAATAATTAAAAAATTCATATATATAAAGGAGTTTTACATTCCGTATAATAATTTACTAATAACTATATATGATTTTTTAAACTAAAACTTTATTAATTAACTCGTGTACCACATTATCTCGCGTATAACGCGGGTAACTATCTAGTTCTTATATATATATATGACATGTAACATCAAGTAACATGATGCTAAAACAAGGTCAAATTTGAAATACAGGCGAAAAATAACCTAAAAGACCGATCACATGCATGTAGTCAAAGTTTTCAACTAAACCGGACGAAACCAGGCTATAAGAGTGTTAGCAAATCATGCAAAATTTAATTTATTATTAGGTAGTATGCTTTTGGTAGTTTTTATTATTTGTCATATATATTATGAAAATCTTGTAGTAATTAAGGCAAGATTTTCTTTTTATTAATTTGTCACGAATTAATGCAAGATTTATATGAGAGATATTATTAGACGGCTTTTTTGGGAGAATCTGATTTTAGGAATGTATATAATTTCCTTTCTTATAAGAAATTAAATTGTTTGACCAAAAAATAAAATAAACTAGGAGTAGATATGCCACCCAATCCCCTTATAAATAGAGAGATAGCCCATGATAAAATAAAATATCATCTTCCACAAAGAGCTACAAAGAATAACAATGTCAGGACAGAAAGTTCAATTTCTCTTACCTATTTGTCTTATTTTTTCTCAGTCATCTGGTAATACATCCTTCATTTGTTTCTCTATATATAAAATAGAATTGTAAAGATTGACGTAATTTGCATTTTTTTTTTGTACCTAGCAAGCCATTGTGACTATAAAGGCAGGTGTGTAAAAAATGAAGACTGCAAGAAAATTTGCACGGGTCCTGGAGAAGATCCAAAATACATCTAATATGCGTTACTACCCTACCATATGACCGTACATGCATGTTGTTGACAGGCATGACAAACCAAAAAACTAGGTTTTATTTGCATAGGTCCTCGAAAAGATTTAACTTTTCTAGTGTGCGTTACTACCAGGCCGGCCTTGAGAATTTAAGGGCTACAAGCAAAAAAAAAAATTAGAGCGGTAATTATTGATGTTTTTTGAAAACAAAAATCCAAATGTTTAAAGGGCTAATCAAACCTTCTACATCTTCTTTATTCCATGTAGTTCATGAACCAATTAAACTAAAAAAAATTTATATATATTTATGGGCCGATAATATATATAAACAAAACATCAAAAAATTTTGGGCCGCAAGCACGGGCTTGGTCTGCTTGCCCTCAGAGCCGGCCTTGATTACTACTCTACCATATGATCGTGCATGTTGTTGTTTAAACATGCACGACAAAAAAAAAGGTTTTGTCCTTCAATGATACACAACGTATAATCAATCACCTATCATAATATTGATGGTTAGTAAAAATAAATGTTTGAATCAGTTTTTCTTTAGAATTAAGATATACAGATTCATGTATGAATATATTGTTTGATCTAAAACCGACATACGGTGACGATCGACTGTAGACGAGTT